CGGATGATATTTTACTGACACTAACTAACCCATTGCAGGCAATAAGAGAATTGCTAATTATTCTAGAGGATTTCAAGTTAATTTCGGGGCTTGGCGTTAATATTAAAAAATCTGAAATAATGTTTCTCAATGTAGATAGGGATACTAAAAGTGAGATATTAGCTTTAACAGGGATGAAATCAGATGTTAGCAAAATTAAGTATCTAGGAGTATATCTTGACAAAAATACAGAGAGGTTACATAAAATTAATTACAGTAAGACCTGGTCAAAGATAATAAAGAAAATGAAGGAATGGAAGAACAAACATCTGAGCATTCTGGGGAAAATTAGAGCAGCAAAAATGTTCCTATTACCAAAGATGTTATACCTATTTCAGGTACTCCCAATAGAAATTGACCAGAAAGTATTAGGGAAATGGGATGAAAAGATTAAAAGCTGGGTGTTCGGTAGAAAAAAAGCAAGAATATCAAAAAAATTGGTATATATGCCTCAAGATGATTTGGGATGGGGACTACCATACTTACAAGCCTATTATGACGCATTTCAGTTGAAGGCACTAATGGCGATGGAATGGATGGTGGAGGATAAATGGGTAAGATTTGAATCAGCAATTAATAAGGGGGTGGGTAGCTATGGAATATACACTAGAGATTTGCGAAAGGAGATAGGAAAAGCAATGGGTCCAAGAAAATCAGCTTTGATGACTTGGAAGAAGTGTAGGACGATTCTGTTGCCCCAGACTTCAAAGTGGATCCCACTTAAGTATATTTGGGAGGAGGAGATGAATGCGAAATTCTGGAAAGCCCTTAAGGGGGAAGGCATAACTAGAGTTAAGGATATGTACAATTCTCAAGGGAATCTCCTACCACTTCAGGAGCTGAATCAAAGAATAGGGGAAAATTATTGGTTAAATCTAAGGGGACTATCACACTTGGTTAAACAAGATAGGTATATAGAAGCTATAAAAAGGGAAGACAACAATTTAGAACAGGTATTATATGTGGATAAAATAAGGAAAGGATTAGCAGGGAAAATTTACCTTGAATTGGTGAAAGATAAGGAGTTTATATTAAGAACCTTAAAAAATAAATGGAATAAAGAAAAACAAATAATCTCTGACGACATCAATAAACTAATGGTGAATTTGAAGAAAATTAAATTAGAAAAATATAGAGAGCTTGAAAGAAAGATAATTTGGAAATGGTATAGAACCCCTGCCCAATTGGCATACATGATTAAAGGTATGAAACCTAATTGTTGGCACTGTGGTGCAAAGGAAGGGTGGTACTCTCACCTGTGGTGGGAATGCCCAAGGGTTAGAGATTTCTGGGAAAAGGTACGGGGAAAGATAGTAGGGTTATGTAAAGTGGATCTTAAAATAGATGGAGATTTATTATTTATGGGCATAATGGGAAATGGTAACATTGAGAGACAAAATCAGGAAATCTTTAAAGCAATGTTACTAGCAGCGCATGCTGTGATTGCATATGGTTGGAAGGAGAGTTTGAAGTGGTCTTTAGATAGATGGAACGATTATTTATACGAATATATCCAGTCAGATATATTGGAATGTATTAAACAAAATAAGGTATGGGATGGAAAAATGAAGGAGATAAAAAAGAAATGGTCTATATACTTTCAGTGGGTAAACAATGGAGAAGCTAATTCCGTTATACTTGAAAAATTGAAAAAAATGTGCTCATGGTTAAAAATTTAATTTGTAGTTATGTGATGCTCACCTTGTGGGGGGTGGGACATAAAAGGGGGAAAACGTATCATAAGAGAATTGGGATAGTAAAGTAATGTAACAATAATTTATGATGCAAATAAAAAAATATTCAAAAAAAAAAAAACTAGACTCAGACTTGGAAACCAAGTTACAACATCACAGACAAGTTAGAAATAAGCAGGACCTTTATTCAGTACAGAGCACAGCAACAGACTACAAAAGATTACAAAAATAACAAAGGCTAGGGCAATTTGCCTTAACTACACATTAAAGATACATAGTTACCAAGGTCAGGATAGCATCCAAGAGTTCAAGATTGTCCATGGTGATAATCCAGGTAGCACCAAGGGATTTTGAGTAGGAATCCCATTTCGTGCAAGCCATGTGCTCCAAGTCACAAAGCAGGTTTTTGTTTCGCAAGGGACAGCATTTCAGGTGCAATAAAACAGACTCTGACAAGAGGAGGAAGAGAAGAGCTAAGAGAGAGAGCTCACTCCCATAGGGATCAAAACAATTATACTCCAATTCCAGGCACAAATTAGATGTGGTCATCAGGCAATTGCAAGTGGGCATGGGTGTGCCCAATTATTGGTTCCCATAGCTGCGTGTGGGGATAGGCTATAAGATTGGGATACACTATAAGATTGGCTTGCAACAGGAAACAAGACACAGCATGTTATCAAAAGACATCACAGGAGAAGGCATGTGAATATAGAAGCAATATGTCTATACAGGGGGCAAGAACACAACTTTGCTTAATTCAAATGGAGTACCCAAACTGGCAAGGAGTTACTCTGCCTACATCAATCTGATAGGATGTTGAAATTTAGAACAGCTATTGCTAAAACATGATTTATGGAAGATGACAATGTGCCCTGTGCTCAAGTAATAGCTTTCTGTAACTCCGTAGCTAAACCGATCTGCATACCTAATTTTACTTATACTAATGGTTTGATTTGGAGTGTAGGAATATGAAAAAACTTCTCAGGGACTTATTTAGGACTTACAGGCAAGATAAAAACATCCACAATTTAAAATATTACTTTGAACATAGATTTACTATTTGCTGAATGTAATCAAAGTTAAAGACTGGAAACCCTTGGCAAACATTCTCTGGTTACTTGAAAAATAATCCAACTCCTGCTACGATTACACCTACTCCTCAAAAATGGGTCGATTATTACTCTGAAATGTTTAATGACCCAAATGCTTCATTAGATCATGAAGAAGAATCTATTCTTTCAACTGTTCCAGACTGACCTCCTGTAAGCCATGATGAAATAATTGATTTAATTTCTGACTTGAAGATTGGTAAGGCCTCTGGTCTAGATGGGATTCCAGCTGAACTTTTAAAAAAATATGCGGACTGGTGGGCTGTCCCACTGGCAAATCTGTTTACCCTTATTAATCACAGTGGGACTATCCCCCAGTCCTTGTTAAGATCCTTAATATGCCCAATATACAAAAAAGGCAATTCGGCTTTCCCTGGAAACTACCACCCTATCAGTCTACTTTCCATTATATGTAAGATGTATTCTAAACCTCTTGAGTATCTATATATCTAATTCCCACAGGGGGGGTTGTGTGGATACTTATTTCCGCCAACAGAGGGCTTACTCTCCCCCAACAGCTTTTCCTACATAGTCAGTAGACTTCCTGTGGCTGCAGAAAAATCCAAGAAGTAAAGAAATCCCTTCAGGGAGGGTTTAATTCCCCCCAATACCTTTTGAAATGGCCTCTGCAGGGATCTAAATCCAGACATCAATGGTGAGAGATTAGAATGTTCAGAGCAAGGGGGGGAGGCTTCTAACTGGCTCTGTCAGTGAAAGGGTGGGGGGAGGGCCCTTTCCTGGCCTCTTTTGGCCTTTGAGGGAGGGAGGGAGCCTTGGGGCCAGGCCTGATAAGGGTTGCCAGTGCCAGGCTGGGGAATCCCTAGAGGTTTTGAGGTGGACTGTAAGGAGGGCTGGGTTGTGCAGATAAAAAGGAGGAGAGAATAATGCAACCTGCTTTGGTCCCCACTGTGGAGAAAGACCAGCTATAGCCTGGTCTCTATTTTACCCTTTCTGTGGAAGGAGATAGAACACAGATTGGTGGAGCAGCTCCAGAGATTCTTGGATGATACATCTGCCCTTGACACATTTTAATCTAGCTTCAGGCCTGAATTCTGAACCAAAAGTGCTTTAGGTGAACTGGTAGAAGCTGGAAAAGGGATAAGTTACCCCTGTTGATATTGTTAGATCTTTCAGCGGCCTTTGGCACCATTGACCACTCTGTTCTTATTAATCAGTTGGAATATGAAGTTGCTATTAGAAGAGCAGGTGTTTGGTGGTTCTGGTCTTTTCTGTCTGAATGGACATAAAGGGTTTCCACTGAAGGAGCAGAATTATCTGTATGGGATTTCTCCTGTGGAGTTCTGCAGGATTCTGGTCTCATACCCATGATATTCAGTATTTATATGGAGCCTCTGAACGAGATAGTCCACAGCTTTGGAGTTGGATGTCATGTCATCAATATCTATGTTGAATTGCCCTTGAACACAACCCAGAAAGTGCAACTAGTTCAAAATGTGGCAGTCCAATTACTGTCAATGGCTAATGGAGAAGAAAATATCTTGCCTATCTTAAAATAGCTGCAGTAACTGCTAGTTTCTTTCCAAGCAATTCAAGGTACTGGTTATGATGACCTTGAAACCCTTTACAACCTAGTATCCACAAATCTAAAAGACCACCCCCCCATGTGTCCCAGTACACCTGCTGTGGTCCTCAAGCTGCTACCTACTGGTTGTTCTCCACTCAGGTTGGGTTGCCTAGCATCAACAAGAGGCTGTGTCTTTTGCATTGTAGCTCCCACTTTTGGGAATGGATTCCCTGAGTATGTGTGTGGGGGGGCTGCTATCTATAAAAGTATTTAGCAGGCTCTGCAAGGTCATTTTATTTGCTAGGGCTTTTAACAGGATATAGACAGCAGGCCTCTTTTGCAAAGAGAGGGTTATTTGGGGTGTTGTTTAATGTGTTTTAAATTGTGATGTTTTAAATTGTGATTTGTAAGCCTCCTTGAACCACAAGAACAGGTACAATATAATAGTGTTGATAAAATAAATAAATAAATGCTAGAAGAAATGTACAATCCCACTTACTGAGGAAGACGTACTAGAAATAGCAGAGATATTCCTTTACTGCAGAAAATTCTGAGAACCACAATAAATAATTCAGTAATCCATCAGAATTGTATGTTTATATAGTCTAATATAGCAATTTATGTGCTCCTTAGGGAAAGGTTTGTTGGTGCTCCATGGGCCAAAGTGGATGCAGCATCGAAAACTGCTGACTCCAGGTTTTCATTATAACATTTTGAAACCCTACGTGGCACTGATGGCAGATTCCACAAAAATAATGCTGGTAAGTGCTGGCACAGGAATTGTGGAATTAAAAAACTGTGTGCTGGGATATACTTAGAGTGTCATATAATCCATACCACTCATGCAGCAATATCCTGTGAAAGTAGGGATATCCAAATAAATATGGAGTACTATAGAACAGGTGATCCTGCCATATGTTAGAATTGTTAGACACAGAGAGGACAAAGCCTACTGAGGGAAAATCAGCATGGCTTCTGCAAAGGGAAGTCCTGACTCACCAACCTCCCGGAGTTCTTTGAGAATTGAACAAGCATGTAGGCAACAGTGACCTGATAGACATTATATACTTGGACTTTCAAGGCTTTTAACAAGTTACCTCGCCAAAGACTCCTGAGTAAGCTTAGCAGTCATCTCTTACAGATTAAAAATGGATTAAATGACAGGAAGCAAAGAACAGGAATAAATGGACTGCTCTCACAATGGAGAGAAGTAAGTTGTCGGGTCCCACAAGGATGGGTATTGGGGCTGGTACTATTTAATTTGTTCATAAATGATCTGGAACTAGGGCTGAGTAGTGTCATGGCTAAGTCTGCAGATGACACAAAATTGTTCAAGATGGTGAAAACCAAGGCTGGCTGTGAAGAGCTCCAAGAGCACCTCCATAAATTGAGTGACTGAGTAACAATGTGGCAAGTGAAGTTCAGTGTTGGTAAGTGTGAGGTGATGCACACTGGGATAAAAAAAAATCCCAACTTCAAGTATAGGTGAATGGGATCTGAACTTGCTGAGACTAAGAGGGAAAAAGATCTTGGGGTCATAAGCAATGTTCCCTCTAAGCTGTGGAGTGAGCAGAAATTCTACTTTGTGAGCTACTGGCATTAAAGTTGTGAGTGAGCGATTTGGCTCCTGCATAAATTAGTCTGCTCTGGAGCCCTCCTTCCTGAGCAAAGACAAAAATGTGTGAGCCAGAGGCTAAAGAACTGTGAGCTACCTCACACTAACTCATCTTAGAGGGAACACTGGTTATAAGCTCAATTAAAGGTTCAACCTAGTGTGGTGTAGCAGGATTTTGTTGGTCTTAAAGGTGCCAGAGGACTCAAACTTTGTTCTGCTGCTCAGACCAACATGGCTATCCACCTGAATTATTATTATTATCAGGAAAGGGTCTGAACAAAACACAGCAGATATTATAATGTCCTTGTATAGACCTATGGTGTGGCCTCATTTGGAATACTATGTACAATTCTGGTCAGAAAGGACATAGTAGAGCTGGAAGAGATGCAGACGAGGGCAACCAAGATGGTTAGGGGGTTGGAGCATCTTCCCTGTGATGAAAGGCTGAAGAGTCTGGGACTTTTCAGTCTAGGAAAGAGATCACTAAGGGGGAACATGATAGAGGTTTATATAACTATGTAACTATGCATGGGGTGGAGAGAGTTGACAAAGAGAAATTTTTCTCCTCCCAAAATACTAAAACTTGAAGGCACCTATGAAGCTAATGGGCAGTAGATTCAGAACACACAAAAGGAAATAACTTCTTTACAAAGTGAATGATTAAAATGTGGAACTCGCTGCCCAAGGATGTAATGATGGCAGATAGACAGGTTTAAAAGGGGTTTAGATAGATTCATGGAGGATAGGTAGATACTAGCCATCTGACTGAGGGGAACCTCAACGTTCATAGGCAATCAGCCTCTGAATCCCAGTTCCAGGGAGGCACCATAGAGAAGGTTTTAGCCTCTATGCCCTATTGTTGGCCCTCCAGAAGAAGTGGTTGACCACTCCGTGAGACACAATGCTGGGCTAGATGGACCACTGTTCTAATCCAGCAGGGCTCTTCTTAGTTTTTATGTTCTTATGTTACAGATCAGGTAGACTTGATGGCACTCGCAGCACATCACTGAGCTTCACTCCCATTGGCTATGTCCGAACACCCTGACCTAGTGATGTAATAAATATTGCCCTGTATCCTTGCTAGCTTTTCCAGAATTGCACTTATGGGAGGTGCAAGATTTGTATTAAGGATTTTTTTGTTCAATCAAAGAGAGAAAGCAGTGGCTGATAAAGGCCCGGAAAATGTGAAGATGTGAAGGCCCGGAAAAAAAAAACAGAAAAATTCAGGAATTTTTTTTGGGTTTTTTTTGCCAAAAAATTGAAAAAATCGAAAAAAGAAAAGAAAAGAAAAAAATTGATTATGGAACATTTTATTTTAACATGATGAATAAAATATTTTAAGACAAGGTGTTCAAATATTTTCCAAATCATTTCTAAAAAATATGTATGGTATTAGATTGATCTAATTTCTGTGCACTGAGAACAAGCAAGTCCTAGGTTACAAACTGAACTCTCCAATGCAAGAACAAGATGCATTTCTTCCTTTAGGAGGTGCTATTGTCACAAGAAAAGAAAAAGGTTTCAGTTTTGTTTTTGCATGTGGGTGGGTATTCTGTTTGTAATAATTGTTTGGATATACTATATATTTAATATGCTAGTTGTGATAATTTCATGCCAAGTAAAAATGTCCATAGTCAATATATTTTATGTTCCTAAAGTAACAGAATGACTTTCAATTTGGAAAAGAAAAAAGAAATGCTAATGTAGCATTTTTTTTTCAATTTTTCCAAAAATTTCCGTTTTTTTCGAGCTTCAAGATTTCCGGAAATTTTACATCTCTAGCCAAATGTCAGCTAAAGGATAGATACATGTGTAACTTGCAAGAGGGTTGCATGCAGTGTTGCTTGTGCCACTTTGGTGTAGTGGTTAAGTGCGCAGACTCTAATCTGGGAGAACCGGGTTTGATTCTCCACTCCTCCACTTGCACCAGGCTGGGTGACCTTCTGATAAGAGCTGTTCTTGAAAAAGAGCAGTTTCTGTCAAGAGCCCTCTCAGCCCCACCCACCTCACAGGCAATGTTCCCTCTAAGTTGTAGAGTCCTGTTAGCAAAAATTCTACTTTGTGAGCTACCGGCATTAAAGTTGTGAGCAGGTGCTTTGGCTACTGCATAAATTAGTGTGTTCTGGAGCCATCCTTCCTGAGCTGAGACAAAAATGTGTGAGCCGGAGGCTAAAAAACTGTGAGCTAGCTCACACTAACTCAGCTTAGAGGGAACACTGCTCACAGGGTGTCTGTTGTGGGGAGGGGAAGGGAAAGGAGTTTGTAAACCGCTCTGAGATTCCCTTGGGTAGTGAAGGGTGGGGTATAAATCCAATCTCCTCTTCTTCTCCAGCTATAAAATATAAGGGAATTTTCCATGGTTATTTTTTCATCTTTCATAGGTTTAGTTCATTGTGATGGTATGATGGCAGGTGTCCCACAAAATATAATGAAGCTTGCAGACTTCCAAGTGGAAGTTGAGATTAGTCCTGAAACTCATTTTTACCCTCATGATTTACAGTGCAGTCCTAAATAGATTTACTCCCTTCTAAGCCCATTGAAATCAATGGACTTTGGAGGTAACTCTGCATAGGATTTTACAGTTAATCTCTTTTTTAAAAAAAGAAAAGCTGAGAATGTTTTTGAATATATGCAAAGTTTCCTCATAACTGAATAATTATAAGTATCACATGTGAAGGGATATATGAAACAGCTTCCATATAAAAGATATTCTTGACAAGCTTTATGTGTTTATTAAAAGAGTTCTGCCCCACCCTTCTAAGTAAATTTAGAGCTTCACCTGAGGTATCTCTCTTATTCAACATAAGGTACTAAATCCAGGGAAGGAAATGTTTTAGTTATCATTAGGGGCTACATCTGGTTTGGATACCATGAACAACAACCACTTTACTAAGGTAAAAGTATATCTGACAAGTGATTAAACAATATGAGATTAAGCTATGTGTAATTTTTAAAAGTATGTTTCTGATAGGGAGAAAAGAAGATTGATGCTTGTTTGGATCCTCTTGTAGTAGACACTGTGTGGATGACAGAAATCTATCAGTTTAAGAATATGTAGGCTGGGCTTAGAAATCAGAGGAAAATGATCTGAGAAACAAACTACCAAGGCAAAGCAGATACAGGAGATAGACTCTGGGATGTATCCAGCTATGAAGCAAGGTTGCCGACCTTTTCTTATTGAGAACAACTCCTGAATAATAAAATATATCTTGAGGTATTCCCCCATCCCCGTTGTGTTACTAGTTTTTGTTCTTCCCTAGAAATGTAGCATAGACTAGGAAAATACTAGAAATGAAGCTGTCAGCTAAGAAGCATGGAGAAAAACCCTATGAAAGAAAAGTTTTTTTTTTTAAAAAAAAAATAGGGTATGTATTTTTTGTGATCCCCCCCCGGGGGGGGGGATTTCTAGGGCAGGGGAAAATAGACTTTATATTTCAGGAGTTGCTTAATTTTTTTTAAGTACCTTGGGCGCTACTAGTCACAAAATGGCACCTTGGTAGGTGGAGCAGGTCAGAAAATGGCAACTTCTTCGAAAATGTTGTGTTTCAGAGCAGGTTTGTAGTAATGGAGTGAAACCTTTTCTTTGCTGTTTTCTCAAAGCAACCTCCCCCACCTGAATTATAACTGGCTCTGCGGGGAGTATCCATCCCGTTAAAGGTACCTTAGCAGCTTTTCTCCTCTTTTTGTGTGAACTGGAGGCAGAGCATTGTGAAATATATTTTTTCCTTGTCTAAAGAAGTCACATAATTTATTTGAACAAGCAATCTAAATTTGGTTTGCACTGTTTGAGAGGGACAAATGGGGGATATGAGCTCTGAACCAGTACTGTCCCACTGACTTAGGACAAATGGGAACAGCTGATTACACAAGAGACATCAGTGGAGCTCTTCAAACATGTGAGCTTGATGACACTGGATATCATCATGAAATGTGCCTTCAGTTACAACAGCAACTGTCAAATGGACAGGTTAGTGTTTATAATCTTTGACCTATGAGTGAAGTCTCCTTCATTGGTTTGAAATATATTGTTCAGCAATTTAAAATGATCCAACTGAGTACCCCAGACAGTGAAATTCCATTCCACATAATGGTTCACTGTTGTGAAATGCACAACAGATCCATCTTGTGCTCATGATCACTCTGTGCAGTGGCATAAATCTGTGCATAGTTTGCACTACGATTACTGGCAACTGTTCATATTTATCGTTTCCCTTTCCGTAAAGCAGCTCTAAGAAGCCTTTTTGGTACCATTCTAAGCAGAATTATACCCGTCCAAGTTCATTGAAGACAATGGGCTTAGAAGGTCTAACTCTGCTTAGGATGGCTCTGTTATTCCTGTAAGAGTTCTTTGTGCCATTCTCATCACATATTGATTATTCTAGCATAAGAGCATAGGAAAATGATATCAAAACACCACAGGGTGTTACAGAACTAGGAAAAAGAAATAAAACATATGAGGCTAATTAAGTTGTACAATCATGGTTGTTACCTTGACATTCCCTTCCCTGGAAAGGACACAAGTCTTCTAGAATCTTGGAAAATAGAGGATGGTCAAGAGGGACTTCACTCCATTGCTCCTTCTTCCCCAGACCATGACTTGTGCTCTTCTGACAGGGTGTCCAGACCTTTTAAATCTTCCTTTCTCAGGTAGGAGGGTTTCACTTTGACCTATCATGAAATTTGGAGTGACTTCCACAAGCACTGCTCCATACCTTTTCTTAGTCAAATCAAGGTGTATTTCCCAAAACCTTTATTACCAACACAGGGTATCCAAATAGCCATCGATCTTGCCCCTTCCTGGCAGATGGGGAAATGGTCATCTTTATCCTGTCTCCAAAAAGGAAACTCATCTCCTCTCAGCCTGGAATCTGAGAAGTTTTTATGGTTTCATTTCTAGGAAAGATTTTTTTTTTCTGAGAGCAAGACTTCCCTGAGTGTTAAGCAAAGTATTCTGCATCTCTTTATCTTAACAAGTACTACATGTGACTCACCTGGCCAGGCCTCCCTCCGTGGTGGGGTGTTGTGGCGGGGAGGGAGCAGGATCCTTTCCAGAATTCTTGTTTTTTTGGCTTCCTAATCCATCCCTGGAGGTAGTAGACCTCCCTGCCTCCCATTATTCACAGATTTTGCCATTCACAGTGATCTCAGGAATGGAACCCTTGTGGATGACAAGGGTCTACTGTATAACATTCACTATCACTCACATAAGCATTTAAAAAAAAGAAATAAAAGCAACTTGCAGTTGAGAAAAGTGCTTGAAATGGAGCTGAAATGTGGCATAATAGTTTGAGTGTGGCATAATAGTTTGAGTGTCAAGGAGAGTCAGGTTGAAATCCCTTGGGCAAGTCACTATTCTTTTGCCTAACCTACTTCAGTGGGGAGGGGGCATATATGTTATCGCTGATTGGAGGAAAGGCAAAATAAGTATGTTAATTAATAAATCCATGTGTTTATAGTTTTAGTATAAACATTTAATATAGTCAAAGCTTCACTTATGCATCACTTATTTCTCCTATTTCAGCAATAAAATATAGAATGTTTTGAAGATACACTGTGATCTGAATGCTGCTTTAGGAATAGGTATTCTGTGACTGATAACATTGAGAAAAGGTGTGGAGCAGTACATGTGGAAGTCACTCATTGATAGTATTCTGTGTTTGTTTTCTCTGATTCTGTGTTTGTTTCCTCCTCAGAGAAAACTCCTATGTTCAAGCTGTTTTTGATCTCTGCTTCTTAGTAAATGAGAAAATGTACCATATCCTGTATCAGAATGATCTTATTTACTGGTTCAGCCCACAAGGATATCAGTTCCGGAAGGCCTGCCAAGTTGCACACCACCATACTGGTACTTTTCCTGGTCTCTTTGTCTGTCAGATCCAGATTTTGGATTGCGGGAATGAACTCAAGCAATGCTATGGTTTCTACCCCACTGACTAAAAGAGGGGCTACAAGTGTTTTAGAAAAAAGAAAAAGTCAGTGCCCAGTTAGTCCAGAAAAGTAAAAAAGGCAGCCCCCAAACTGGAGCCTAAAATAGAATTAATTAGTTTAAATACACCACCCAACTTCTTTGAATTAAATTTCTTCAGAGGTGACAGTTAATAAGTCATCCTACTTCAAAAGGTGCTGTCTCAGAATTTTAGTTCACACATGATATTTATACAAATGTTTCAAATACATATAATCAATAATTGATTCAGATCCAAATTTGGAAAACATTTTGTGGAAGCATATGTTAACTGTTTTGACTAGAAATATGGGGGGAGGGTTGCTTAGATTTATATCCTAAGTAGCCTCTAAGTGGTGCTGTTGTATCACAGCCTCTGAGGTTTTTTGGTTTGCACTTTACCTCATGGTCAGTTTACTGACCTTCCACATTGTCACTTTTGTCACTCGTTTGTCCCTACTGCTTCAGGGTTCCCCCCCCCCCCCAATGTGTTTTGCTCTCTCTAGTAGTCCCAGAGGGAGCAAAACACATGTGAAAAAGGGGGGAACCCAAAGCAATAGGGACAAAAGAGTGACAAAAATAACAATGTGGAAGTATTCAACCTGGAGCAGAGGTTTGCTGAATAGTTAAAATATGCCATCGGTGAAATAGTAAGTCAAACAGCTAGAGCACTTTAATCAATAACTGTTAAAAATGTTTTTGTATTGTTGGGTTTTTTAAATGGTTTTATATGTTTTATATTGGCGCTGCCACTATGTAAGCCGCCCTGAGCCCGCATTGCGGGGAGGGCGGGGTATAACTCGAATAAAATAAATAAATAATAAATAAATATCTGCCTTTCTCACTGAGACTTGAGGCAGATTACACAGTACAGAAAACTAGATGGGACATCCAGTAAACAAAGCAATAAGGTTTGGATTGCAGAAATCTGTAACAGAGCTGAAATAAAGCGTAAGCATTAACATGAATATAATTCAGAAATTACATAGTGGGATCGTACTTACATCAATGGACAGTGCATACTATGCACAGTAGTATAGTCCACAGTCCGTATCCCTTTATAAAAGCATCTTTCTGAAACATTTTGTTACAGTATAGCCCCAACAACCTGTGTATAAAAGCACTCCTGAACATTTCATATGTTCCACAATGCATCATTTGTGGAAAGCTAGGAGGGTGAAAGCCTTCCTGATCTCATCCAACTGGCATTTTTATAAGGTCGGGGATGCAACAGAGAATGCACATGTGCAGGCAGTTGTTGATTTTGCCCATTTGCAGGGTGGCACCTGCAGAAGGCTCTGCTCTGATGAGCAAAGGTGTCATGGCAGAGCATAGGGGGAGAGACAGTGCCCAGAGATGATGATGATGAATTGTCACAGTCATATATTTGACTGGTAGATGGTGTTCTGCAATTTGCGATCTAGCCAAGTTCTTGAGAACTGCAGATGCATTTTTGCAGGATTCTTGCTGTTCCAAGCAACATTATATTCTGGACCTGAGCTGGTGTTTGCTCGGAGGCCAGAATATCCAGGTGTTTCTTGAGACTTCTAGGCACTGCTCCAGTGACAATTGGCATGATGGTAACCTTCTTTTCCAAGAGGCACTTTAACTGTATTTGTAGGTTTTGATATTTCATGATCTTCTTTTTCTCTTCTGCTGTCTTCTGGGATTGCAGTGTCAATGATCCAACTTGTATTTCTCATTTTTTCTACAATTGTGATATCAGGGGTGTTACACTGCACATGTTTATCTGTTTGCAATAGGAAAGCCCAAAGAATCTTTGTTTCGTCATTCTCCATAATCTTTTCTAGTTTGTGCTCTGATGAATTTCTGGCTGATGGTAAGCCATACCTCTTGCAAAGATTCCATTGGAACATAACTGCAACTCTATTGGGATGTTCTTTATAGTCAGTCTGAGCAATTTTACTGCAGGCACTTACCATGTGGTCGACTGTTTCATCCTTTGTCTTGCAAAGTCGACATTTACTGTTATCACTGGTCTTCTGAATCTTGGCTTTCATACTATTCATTTCAAGTCCCTGCTCTTGTGCAGCTAGAATGAGCTCTTACATTTCTTTCTTCAAGTGCCCATTTTGGAGCCACTTCCAGGTATTTTCACTATCAACTTTGTACTCTGTGCCTTTCAAATACTGCCCATGCACATGCTTTTTCTTCCACTTATCAAAATGGGTTTTGATTTAAATCTTTTTATAATCTTTGGTTTCCATAACCTTAAATAATTCTGCCTTGTACACTTCAACTAGAAGTTGCTTTTCTCTTTGCTTTTCTTGGTGTAGTCATTCAGTGCTCTTTTTCAACTGCTTGCTTAACTTTCAGGAGACCTCTTCCACCTAATTGTCTTGGTGAGTTAAGATGATCAACACTACTTCCAAGATGTAGTGAGTGATGCATTGTCACTGTAACCACAGCAGTTGCATAGTGGCTCAAGACCTTTACTGCATCACCAAGGATTTGTATAGAGAGTTATTGAGCAGGGTGTCATCAACGTATTGATGAACCAGTTCCCAAAGCTTTGAATGGTTTCTCCTAAAGGCTTTACACAGAGATTGAATAACATGAGACAGCTTCCACACTGGACTCCAACTAGGGTTGCCAAGTCTGAAGCAGCACTGGAGCGGGGGACTCCAGCGCCGCTTCGGGAGTGCGCGCATGCGCCGCAATCACGTCACCCGGAAGTGACGCAACCACGCCGGGCACGCTGGGGGAGGGGCCACGACTATCCAAGGGGAAACCATAGAGTTTTTCCTCGGATGACCGTGGCCCCGCCCCCAACGCGATCGCGTCACCTCCGGGCGACGTGCACGTCACGTGCTTTGGGGGTGGGGTTCCCCCCGGGCGCGATCTGCTGGTGGCGGGTAACGGGCCTCTGGGGGGACTTGGCAAGCCTATCTCCAACCTGTGTATAAACCCCACGGGACAGCTTCCACACTGGTGTCCAACAGCAACCTTTGTATCTGATCCATGAGGAACAATTTAAATCAGTCCAAGGCACACCCCTGATTCCTACTTGTATTTGATGGAAAGGTGTAGCAGGCACATCCGCTGAGGCAGTGAAGCTGCTGCAATGAACCTAAATTCCACACACCAATTTCTTAGAGAAGAAAGTGTTTCTTAAAGCCAGCACACAGTCATCATAATATGCTAAAATAATAACACATACATGGATATTTATTTTTTCTCAGAATTCAAGAATTCAGGATGCAAAAGCTTGAAGAAGGAAAGTTGGTTTACCACATATTGCATATAGGTCTCATATAGGTCTCGTATTTTCCTATATAGATCTATGAATGGTAGACCAACACAGATCAATGGGAATTTCCCATAGTCAGGGTTAGGGTTTGTAGCATAACAATAATCACCAAGCTGTTCAAATTGAAAAACTATTTAGCATGATTAGGGGGTCTTTAGTGAATAGGGGTTTTTTCCCGTTAGACTCATGCAGAAACATTCATAATAAATGTGCATGAGCAACCAACCAACAAACATTTACGCATACAAAGCATCTAGAAATGGGCATAGCTGCTAAGAACTTTGATATACATTTTGAACTTTTGTAGCCAGTAATTTCTAGCAAGTCACAATAATAACTTTATAATGCAGATAAGATAATTAATGACAGAAAGGAATGTCTGAGAACGGAGGAAGAGCGACAAAAAATCCAGACAAAGAGACACCTGGATTTTCTTGACATCCTTCTCTGTGCCAAAGTGAGTATTAGAAAAATCATTAATTCCATGATTGGTTATGGCAGTTATTTCTATGTGATTTTTAAGGGGCATTAAGGAGCCCTTGTTTTACTGTGCTAGTTTTGACCTATAAAGAGGCCTTAGATCTGCTGTGTCCCGCTGATCTCATATGATTATTTGTTGGGATCATACCATTTAATAATGGTAGTAGTAGTAGTAGTAGTAGACGACCTGCTACTTTTCTACATAAATACATAAAGATAGGAATAAATAGCTTAATTTTTCTTTTTTGATAAGACATGTTCACCACTGGATCATTATCTTTGTTCCAGTTCCTGGTAAAGAAGTAAAACTGTCTATGATCTACTGCCTCCCTGCCTTCCAGAAGCTCAGGTTCCCCAGTGCCCAGTTGTGAATAGCTTGAACAAGTTAGAAGTAGCATAGATGACTCCCAGTCTATACTTCTGTCCCCCTGTCTCATGTCCCCATGCATCCAAAGGCCTTGTGCCTATTCGCTTTTTGTGTGCTGACAGCATGCAGCTTGTTCTGTATGTGGGCCGTATGAATTTCTCTTAGGCCCTCCTTTCTCTTACCCATAGTTCCATCCTGGATAATTTTCTCAGATACCCATTTTCACTGTTCAGGATTCCTGTTCAGGAATGTTCCCTATCAAGTAATTCTGTGCCAAGTAAACTCACATTCTGTGAAAACGAATGCTGCAAATCATGCACATACTGTTTTCTCCTGATACCAGCTGCAGCAGCGAGAGACAGAAAAACCTCATTCCTGGGTAAAATGCTACCACTACAGACGTTTATCATTTTTCAGGATGAAAATGGAGTTGGACTATCTGATGAAGACCTCCGTGCTGAGGTGGACACTTTCATGTTTGAGGGACATGATACCACAGCCAGTGGGATCTCCTGGATGTTGTACTGCCTTGCTCAGAACCCAGAGCACCAGCAGAAATGTAGAGAAGAGATAAAGGCTGTTCTGGAGGACCCTGACACCATTCAATGGTGAGCTTTCATGTTTTATTGCATAGTTTTTCTACCGCACCCACATTTTAGGAGGAGACTGATGTCTTCTCAAGAAAACCAGGCATAACAGTGATGCATTGCCTTCAGCTGGGGCAAGTGGGACCCTCTAGCCCAACTCAAGCTTCCACTGGTAGCCTCATTGCCAAATGTGACTCAGCTGGTCTTTGGAACTGCAGAGACTTGCTTGGGCATCCCTTCCTGCTGGCCAATACCATTCACCCCCTCTTTGCCGCCTCCTCACTGCTCACCTCCACTGCCAGCCAACAGTAAAGGGAGAGGAGAAAAGTAGGAGATAAAAATAGATATATGTTGGGGGAGAGGAATTAATCTCTTCCTTCCCTTTGCCTCACCTTCGACTCCTAATACATCTTCTTGCAGATTGCAACCTGGCTTTCTTTTTCTTTTTTAATAATATTTTTATTTGGTTTTACAATATTTACATTCCAATATAAAATTAACATGTATGGTAGAGTCTCATACGCTCAATGTCTCAATCCATTCATACACCTTAGTCCATCTTTTGTTATACACTTTTTCATATTTGTTTTGCAGCTTCAGGCTTAGATTGTCCATTTGTGCTAGATCTAACACTTTAACCACTAAATCCTCCCTCGTCGGTATTATGTCTAGTTTCCAATTCTTGGCCAGTAATAAACGGGCAGCTGTTATTATATATACTATTACATATTTATCCTGCTGTTTATAACCCTTAGGTAACATATTTAATAAGTATATTTCCGGTTCCAGTGCTATATTTTTCTCCATTATATCTTGGATCAATCTCCTCACCATTCTCCAATATTCCTGAATTTTACTACGTGACCACCACATATGGAAGAAGGTCCCTATATTGGCCTTACATTTCCAACATTGGCTGGAATATCCGGGGTAACATTTGGCTATTTTTTCCGAGGACCAATGCCACCTTTGGAACATTTTATAAACATTCTCTTTATAGGCTACGGCTCTCATATACTTAACTGAGTCCCAGGTTTTGGTCCACATATCTAAATCTATCTTTTTCCCTATATCTTTTATCCAGACACTCATAACTCTTTTCACTTCCTCGTCTTTTTCAAAATCATCCAATAGGAAACTATATAATTTCGGTATCAATTTATCACTTGTGGACAGCCATATTTTATCTAACTCATTGTTACTACTTTCAAAGCCTCTCACCGTGTCTTTTTTAAATCTGTCTTGCAACATTGCCTTTTCCCACCAGGATATTATATTTTCCCTTTTTAACTTCTCCTCTATTATTGGAGAATCAATGCTTGTATGTTGGAATTCAAGTTAGAAGGAATTGCAAGATGTCAATCATATTGCCTGTTTGCTCTGAGTATTTTTGATAGAAAGCTCCAGAAAATATGGCCCCAACCCTTGCTCCAGTAGGACAAGGTCTTCCTTCTTGCTCTATGGGTCCCAGAGCAAGGAGATCTGACAAACCTGATAATTGGTACTGTTCTTTCTGCCCTCCACCATCGAGTAGAAAAGGACCCTACCCCAGCAGCTCTGGCTATGGCCCTCTTTTAGTACTACAGAAAATACTTGAAATGGATTGTGTTCCTTTAACACCAATCCAGTTACTCCAGGCTGGGCTGATATTGATACTTGAGATCAATGCTCCCTTCTAAGCTATGGAGTCTTGTTGTCAGCAAAAATTCTACTTTGTGAGCTACTGGCATTAAAGCTGTGAGCGAGTGATTTGGCTACTGCATAAATTAGATTGCTCTGGAGCCATCCTTTCTGAGCTAAGACAAAAATGTGTGAGCCAGAGGCTCAAAAACTGTGAGCTAGCTCACACTAACTCAGCTTAGAGGGAACACTTCTTGAGACGTGTGGGATCAGAGAAGTGTGGGCCATCTGAAAGCCGAAAGGAGCAGAGGGATTGGGGAGGGGGAGATGGAGGAGACTATGGGTGCATTCAGATGGGGCGTTTCAGCCGGCAGAAACTGTACCGGTTGGAACCGTTGCAGTTTATGCCGGCTGAAACACAATCACACTTACCTTCGATCTGCGGAGCCCATCGCTGTGTGCCTATTCACACACAGCGGGCGTCGGTGGTTTGTTTTTGTTTTTTAAACTCAGTTTGCACATGCGCATAGGCAGCCATCCACAGAATGGCGATCTTCGCGCATGCGCAAAACACCCTGTCCTGAAAAGCATGCCCTGAAGAGAGGACATACCTTTAAAGTTTAAAGACCAAACTGGCCTCCCTGAGGTCTCGGACTCCTCTAACACCTTAAACTAAGGACCTTTTTCTTTCTTTTTTAAACAAACGCCGGGGGCGAAGCTTTGCCCAAGCACATATCGCCGACCTAAAAAAAAAATGGTGGGCGAAAATCGGAAGCCTCGGGCTTCCGAACGGAAGTGGCTCTACAACGGTGGAGAGCGATTGGGGGGGGGGGTAAAGCGATTACAACCATAGCACTCAGGATACCGCCACTTGGGGACCTAGTGGCAGAATACAACGGTTTAAAGCTCTTTGCAACGTTTAGGGACGGAAGGCAGATGTTTGCCATGTGAATGCTGGTAAGTACACCAATTCCAACCGGCACCTATACCGTTGCAAATGCCCCGTCTGAACGCACCCTGTGACTGATTCAGTGTGAAGATCCCTGTGAAAGAAATTAGGGTGTATTCCAGGCTAGCCTCTTGGCTCGTGGTGGGGCTAATTCCCTGCAAGGAACCAGTGGAGCTTTGAACACTCTTTATATATGGTTTTACCATAGAGGTTTTGCAAATCCCAGAGTGTCCCCCTCCCCAATCTCATGTCATCACATCCAGTTTTCACTGGAAGTGGCATCTGCATGCGTGACATTGGCACTAAGGTTACCAACTCTGGGTAAGGAAATGCCTAGAGATTTTGGGGGTGGATCCTAGGAATGGTGGAGTGTCGGGAGGGAAGGGACTTTAGCAGGTTACAATGCCATAGAGTCCGCCCTCAAAAGCAGCCATTTTCCCCTGATCTCTGTTGTCCGGATATCAAGTGTAATAGTGGGAGACCACCAGGCTCCATCTGGAGGTTGGCAGCCCTAGTTGGCATGCCAGTTCCCATGCCCAAAATGCTGCCAGGCATTTCATGCTGTGGCCTGGCAACCATAGGCACCAGTGAAGTTTGAAACTTGGAATAAAGAGTTTCTCGGAATCCTGTCATAAGAATGAAACTCCAGGTACAGGTTGTGTTTATGTTTGACTGTATCAGGAGAGTTCTGGGAAGAAAGGCCTGGAACCACTGAACTCTTATTACTTTACTGGCAAATGCATAAGGCCTAGTTAGAGACTTATCCGAGGAGTTCCGGTTCTGGCTGGCTTGCAGCAAGACGTGTTGGGAGAAGCTCCAACTCCTAAATGTTTTATAACGTTTTATCTTCTCCTGACAAATCCTCCTGACATAACTTTTAACTAGGCTGCCGGCTTACGTGCTTTATGAACTTTTAGCTGAAGATATGGAAGCCAAAAACAGTTAAATGAACTTTTTAGTGTGTGCTCATTAGTCTTCAATTATCCTCTCTACTGCTTAGAATTCCTTGCTTTGTTTTTGCTACACTGTTATATTATTGCGAACTCTAATATAAACACTGGGACTTGGACCAGCTAAAGAAGCAGGATAATTTATTGCTTCAGTGAAGCGTCCAAGAGATACTGAAGAGTTAGCCCCTGTCCCTGCTAAGAAACAGTCTAAAATTGGGGGGTTTTTTTACTTCTAGAGGTAAACCAACCCCCCCCCCTTGACTTCTCCTATAGTCAAATTATCAAATTGCTTCGCTGTTTTAGAATACGAGAGTGAGGAGGAGAACAAAGAGTAACTATAATTAGAATTTCAGTGCAATTCACTGCATTGGGTTGGTGAATATTATCATAGGGTCATCAGCATCATCCTTCCTTCAAATGTAGACATGAATGGAACTACTAGGTGAGTGTACAACCAGTGGGGGAGTGGCTGAGGAAAAACTCCAAAGTGGACGCATCCTTTTGCAGCCCCTCATTGTCCATTAGATGGGAGTGTCCTTCTGCCTAATCATCCCATGTTTCTATTATTTATCCTCAGGCTGTCACAGAAGCAAGGACGTACTTCCCAATCAGCTGTGATCCCCACAAGTGAGGGCTAAATCAGACATAATCACCACTGAGAAATCATATGTGGAATTGTCATCTTTTCCCTTGCCAGTTTCCTATGCTTTCCAGAATGGTAAAGTAACAGGAGCAGCTGTATCCAACAGGAGATGCATTGCTAAGGAAAGCTGCCCCTGTTGCCCTGCTGACTGCCATGTTGCCCTGCTGACTGTCATGTAGTTTTCAATTGACAAGGGCCTGTAAGAATGTTAAAGAGTTCATGACCTCATGTTTCGGCAACACAGTTCAACTGCAACCAGAACTGTTCAATAAAAGCTGACTTTGTTTCACATGTTCTCTGTGCTCATGATTATTAGCAAATGGATTCCTTCCTTTGTTGCTAACCACAGGTGTCTGCATAATGGGGCCCCCCACATGGGACAGGCTAGCAGGTTTTCATCCATGGCCTTACCGCTGGAACTCCAGCAATGATGTGTGTAGTAGGCCCTCAAAGCTCCCCATTACTATGGTGTGATAAACCATGCAAAAGAGTGAAAGTAAGTAAAGGGAATACCAATATCAAGATCTGCTGGAGCAATAATCAGCAGACACAAGAATCATATAATGTGCCATTTTTCTGAAAATGCTGCCTATGTGAATATCTCTGGAGGAGTTTCACTACTTTATTGGCTTATCCTGTCTTTGAATTTTCCAGGGATGACCTCAGTAAGATGACTTACTGTACTATGTGCATTAAAGAGAGCCTTCGCCTTTACCCTCCAGTACCAGGAGTGTCCCGACAACTCAGCAAACCCATTACATTTTTCGATGGGCGGACTTTACGAGAAGGTTTGTTTGGGTCTCTTCTACCTTTGTAGCCAAAACTTGTTTCTAGAACTCTAGATCCACTCATATCCCATGCAGAGGAGAATCAGTTTTGAGTAGCTTAAATACCATTGTAAAACTGATGACATGTTCAAAGTGGTATAATGGCTGCAATCCTAAATATTAAGGAACTAGGAAAAAGGCTCGTTGTGGAAATAAATACAATGGCCTCTAGAAAGAGGCTCTGGGCGGGTGCCCCTCAGTGTCAATTTGCTGTGGCAACCTCAGCAGGGTGTAATGACACTGAGTCCACCATTTTCTCCAGAGGAACTGATCTCTGCTACCTAAAGAACAGTTGTAATTTTGAGTGGTCTCCAGCCTTCACCTGGAGATTGGCAACGATGGTTCCCCAGAAGGGAATGGTTGGTTTGGAGGGTGGAGTGTATGGCTTTGTACCTGTCCGAGGTCCCATGCCTCCTGAAACCTCACCCTCTCCAGGCTCCATCCCTCACATCTCCAGGAATTTCCCACCTGGAGTTAGCAACCCTATCTCCTTCCCAGCCAATCAGCAACCTATCTTTATTTCCCCCTCACTCTTCAGCTTTCCACCCCCCACACACCTGCAGCATCTCCCGTTCTCTGAAGTCCTGACTGCTACGTCACATTGGCTGTCATACGGGGGCCACCTCAGCAGCATATAAGGATACAGAACCCACCATTTTCTCCATTTCAACTGATCTCTGCCATCTGGAAAGCAGTTGTAATTCTGAGTGATCTCCAGCCCTCACCTGGAGATTGGACACATTTTACCTCAGAACAGGAAACAGTTTAGAATGTTAGAGGCAAAAGCCAATCAAGTCGCATACACAAATAACCTCTGTGTTCTGACTGGCTATGGGGGGGAGAGGAACAGCAAACTGTTTAGAATGTTGGAGGCAAGACTCAAGCAATGGAGCCAGTGGATAGGGACAGATTCTGAGTGACACATCAGGGTGCCAACCAGTTCTGGATAGGGCTGCCAAGTGGGGGCGGGTGGCGGGTAAACCCCCGCTTTGGAGGCCCGATTTCCACCACTGCGGAAACTCTATGGTTTTCCCTCCGACGATCGGGGCCACGCCCTCAACGTGGTCGACGTCGCGCGTCACTTCCGGTGATGTGCTGGCAGCGCACACATCCGGAGACAGCTCCCAGAGCCTGGCGATGCTCCCCCACCGGTGAGTTTTTTTGACTTGGCAACCCTAATTCCGGAGCATGTGGAATGTTCTAGAGAAGTGCCACCACCATTCGGCTTTTATATATAAGGGAGATAAGCCCCAGTGATCTCAGTGCAACTTATTTCTAAATAGAACAAAGTTTGAGTCCAGTGGCACCTTTAAGACCAACAAGGTTTTATTCAAGGTATAAGCTTTCATGTGAGGAAGTGTGCCTTGCACACGAAAGCTATGCCCAGAATTAAACTATGTTGGTCTTTAAGGTGCCACTGGACTCAAACTTTGTTCTACTGCTTCAGACCAACACAGCTACCCACTTGGATCTTATTTCTAAATAAACATGCTTAGGATTGCACTGCAATCTTCTGCAAACTTCTCCATATAGCATACATGTAATGTACTTTGCTACCATCTTCACTAGCACCTGAAAGGGAGACAGAACAGATCTTCTGTACATGGGCAATCCTTACCATGTGTCCAATTACCTGCCTTCCAAAGCCTATCTTCAGATGTCATCCGCTGATTCATCTTTTTTCACGACTGCTACACAGTCCTACTACCAACAATGAGTTGGACATTCAGTTCAATAAATTCAGTGGAACAGAGGTATTTAAGAGACTGTATACAAGTCTATTGCAGAGTAAACAGCAAAAGCCCTTCAGTAGTTGAAAATTACTCCTAAAGGAATTCAGGATGCATGAACTCAACCATCTCAAAACTATCTTAACACTTAGTATTTATCCCAGTCTTACCAACATGAACATAAAATAAACAAGCTTGGGTCTATAAGAGTGGTTGCTGACATGATTCCAGGTCATCCTTAACTTGTCCCCTTTCCCACTGTGATTGCTTCCTAGGTTCTTGGGTAGCAGTAAGCTTTCATTTGATGCACAAAAACCCCAGCATATGGAAAGATCCAGAGGTATGGTATTTTGTCAATGCAACCATGTTGACATGATGCAGTAATGCTGTTTCAGTCTGCTAGAGCAAAGTAATTGCTAGACACCATTCTGCAAAAATAGGCTTTTCATGTACACTCCTGAGAAACTGTATTGGCTACCTCAAGCCTTCTGCTTTCAAAAGCCTAGCTGGCATTTATGAATAGTGCAAATGGCAGTTCATAAAAATAAAGCAGTAGTTTGAAATGCCCCAAGGGTGAAACTTTATTTGTTAAGCGCATTTGTTTTCTGCCCCTCTACATTAATGTCCAAGGCAGGTTACAACAAATGTCATAAATATAAAATTCCATTAAAAGACACAAAAATAACAACTTAATGCAATTTATAAAACAGCAAAAAAAATTATAGCAATGGAATGCTACAACAGCAACCCTGAAATGCAAAGCCCAAATGCAAGGAATAGTTGAGATCCAGCTAAAATCAGTTCAGCACTAAAACAACTAGCACAGCTTTAAGTCTGGCTTTGGGAGAAAAGCAGGACAGAAATGTTTAAAATAAATAAATTAAATTACAAATAGAGCATTCATTTAATATTTTAATCATGAAGCAGTTCCAGCAGTCAAACAAGTTCTTAAGGTCATCAGTTTTTTTTTTTTTAAAGCATGGGTAAAAAAAGAAATTTTCACAAGAATCCTAAATAGCAACACATTTCTATGGATAAGGTATTCTGCAACTGGGACTCCACCAGAGAAAACGTCTTGTCTCTGACTGCCAGCCACCTCCATTCAGGAGGTATGCATAGATCAGGGAACAAGACTGAACCCTGCAATACTTTATAGCAAAGAAACCGTGACATTAAATACCAACACACACACACCAGAGCATCACCTTCTGGAACTGATACCATGGTTGTGTTCGCAGAGTTTAAACATGCAGAGGAACTGAGTACCAACTGTTTAAAGAAAGTAACTTGGTTTACTGAAGAAGAAATAAACTCTGATAGAACAGAGGAGGGAGGGAGAGGCTTAACTAACTGACTAACTGCTGTGAGAGACCGGAATGTAAAGGGGAAGGGCTCATTTGGAGCAGGAAGTCTCCAAAGAAGACATAATTTGAAATTGTGGGAAGTCCCTAATCTACCTATGCTAACTAGCCGTCTTTCAGCTGTCCCCTGTAGGCTGTTCTTCTGATCTTCTTCAAGTAGGTGCACTATAGACCTTTTGTATTCCAACAGGTTGATGGTGCCAAAGGCTGCCACTGTCTTCCCCAAGTGAAGGTTGTCCATCAGAGCAACTGAGGCCATGTTAGTCCTCAGAACAGATTTGAGCCTACATTGAAATGGGTCTAGAGAATCCATTTCCTCCAAGAATGCCTAGAATTAAACAGCCACCCACACGTAATTAAACTTGTTTTAGTCTAGAGGTGGTTTCATTACTGTATCCAGGGGTCTTTTGGGGCCAGAGCATGCTGGAGCACTGCTCCGGGAGCCCAGGAGCTGGCACAAATGGTGGTGGCAGCAAGCCCCGCCCCCAGCTTCCTGCGCTGCGGCCCCAGGGAGGCCTAAGGAGGCCTGTTGTTGCCTTCCCGGGGCCTGCGCCAGAGCGCTGCGGCCCCGGGGAGGCCTGAGGAGGCCTGCTGATGCCTCCCCGGGCCACCGCTGGAGTGCTGCGGCCCAGGGGAGGCCAGAAGAGGTCCCCCGCCACCTCCCGTGGTAAGTGATGGATCCACGGGGGTGGCAGAGGCTTGAGTGGGGGAGTTTGGGGGGTGGGAGAGCCTCCTCCCTCCCCCCATGTCTTTGCCCTCTTTCTTTCCCTCCTTTCCTTCCCCTTTCCTTTTCTTTTCCTCCTTTTCTTTCTCTTTCC